TGTCTCTCATTCTCTCTCTCTCAAATAAATAAATAAAATCTTTAAAAAAAAAAAAAGAAAACAAATCCAAACTGAAAGACTCTCTCTAAAACAACTGGCCTGAACTCTTCATTCAAAAATATTAATGCATTGGTGGTTCAGTGGTAGAATTCTCGCCTGCCAAAAATATTAATGACATGAAAGACAAAAAGACAAGGGTGCTGTTCTACATAAAAGGAGAATAAACAAAAAGGACAACCAAATGCAGTGCACAATCCTTAACCGGAGCCTTCAATTAAAAAAAAGCTAGAAAAAACCATTATTGAAACAATTGGGGAAATGTGAATATAATCTATATATTAAATAATAGTATTGTATCAAACTGTATTGAATCATATTTAATCCAAGTTAAATATTTTTTTTGGCGTGATCATTATTTTGAGTTTATGGAGGAAAACATACTTGTTCTTTAGGAGATATATGCTGGAGTATTTAGAATAAAGTGCCATTAATGACTGCAACTTACTCTTAAATGGGTCATTAAAATTATATTTAAATATATAGTTTTATATATATAAATTATATATAAGACATATAATCTCTATATATGAAACCTATATACATATACATACATATAGAGAGATACAGAGAGAGAAATAAAGGAAAATATAGCTAAATGTTAACAGTTGGTAAAACAAGAATATCTGGGTGTCCATTGTATTATTGCAAGTTTACAGTAGGTTTGCAAATTTTCAAAATAAGAAAAGGGAGATGAGAGATTGCAAATGACAACAAAGATTAACATAAAGAGAAGCTACACTTACACTATTTAGGGAGCCATCTCAATAATTAAAAATTTAAAGATAATACCCTAAAAATTTTTCAGAGAGCCATAAACAGGCTACATACAAATCACTCTGGATATGGACATTAAGATAAGGACATAGTATCTTCCAAGTTTGAGAGAAACTTACTTTGAAGATAGATTTCTACATCCAGCCAATTAAAATTTAAGCGTGAGCACAAAGAGAGAGAAAGAGAGAAGAAAAAAGTATTTTCGGTTACTTAAAGAGTAAAAAATTTTGCATTCCACAGATATGCTCTGAAATAATTAGTCAAGGATATGCTGCAACAAAACTGAATCCAAGAAAGCTAAAGATGTGGAACTCAAGAGATGGTATACAAAGAAATCAGGAGCCATGAATACACAGCATTAGAGATATGAAAGAGCTACAAGAAAGAAGCATATTCAAATTTATATACTATTAAAAATGTATTTAATTTGTTAACAAATACATAAGCAAGATAATTTCTAAGAGACGAGTACCATGAAGGCAATAAACAGACTCTGTACTGGGAAGGGATGCACTGAGTACATGAAAGCAATTATTATCTACGTGCAGAGTGAACTTGACCCCACAAATACTCTGGAATTGAAAACCCCTTAAATTCATACTGATTCCTTCTGTCTTTTTAAGATGTTTCAGCCAGAGAAGATACAATATGATCAAAATTCTGCAGAGATTGTGTGAGCTGATAGCACTATAGTGCAAGCCCAGCATCCAAGGTTTTTATTTTTGTTCATCTATATTAGCAGAGTTAGAACTAGTCACTGAGAAATGAGGAGAAGGAGGAGATGACTTGGCATTACAAACTCACAGGTGTGTTTCGGGAATATATGAACAGTTATTTTACTTTGAAAAGGTTATAGAATGATCTTTGTCTTATGTAAGTATTATGAAAGTATTACGGGCAGTAAGTATAAACACAATGATTGTGGATTGGATTTTATTTATGCCTTTTCGTGTAAAAAGTGTATATATATATATATATGAGGGAGGTAGAGAGAGGACTCAGAGAACGAGTGTGTCCTCCCCTGTCCTCATCCGAATGAAAGCTCTGACCACAGGACAGGGGCTACGGTGGCCCCAAGCCAAGCAAAGCCCATAAGCCCATAAGTGTATCTTCTTCCTTTCCCTTTTGCTGCCCAAACCATACTGTGTTCCCCAAGGCATTTCTACTCCACAGGAGGACCACAGGAACCATGTGTGCTTTCAGATGGCCCAATCCTTCAGAGTCCTGAGCAGCAGAGGACTGGGTTTAAGGAGCCCCCCCACCCCCCCCCCCCCCGCCTTTTGCTTCTCTCTCAGATCTTAGCCACCCCTGTGGAACTGCTTCCTAAGGCGGACGCTGCCCAGCAGGGGGTGGCAGATGGACTGTATTTGTTACACTCTCCCAGGAAGCACGATGCAATTGCTTTTAAGAGGTCAGTGCCCTCCAACTGTGAAATGGTAATATGCTAAATTACGTGCTTAATTAAATTTCACCCCAACAGTATACCATAAAATTGGAAAAGCAATTCCATCACTCAGGAGCAATGAGCATAAAGTACACACAAAAGGATCAAAAGTTCTCATCAGTAAACTTATGTTTGTGCTTTGGCTGAAAATTCAGAGGTCCATTTCTACTATAGGTTGATGAATGGCGTACAGTTAATAACCACTTAATCGCTTGTCTCTTTTTCCTCGTGTTGCTGCCATATAGGTTAGAAATGACAGGGATGAGATTTTTGCTAGTCTCCTTCAGTCAGGAATCCAAGGGGAAATCTTCCTATTAGATTTTACCATCCTGTTCACAAGTGTCTTTAATTTTTCTGTTTATATTGAGTTTTTTTTTAAGATTTTATTAATTTATTTGAGAGAAGAGAGAGAGCACGAGTGGCTGGGAAGAGTAGAGGGAGAGGGAGAGGGAGCAGCCCATTCGCCACCGAGCAGGGAGCCCAATGCGGGGCTCGACCCCAGGACTCTGAGATCATGACCTGAGCCAAAGGCAGATGCTTGACCGACTGAGCCATGCAGGCGCCCCTATATTGTTTTTTTTTAACCATGCAAAACACACATCAGGATTAGGGAAACTGAGCTAAGAGGTAACCTGGTGTAGCTGCTATCTCATGAATATTCAATGATATGGGCTATCACATATTCTTAACAACTCCTCTACAGCTGCAGCTACATACTACAAATAACACTGAATAAAAGAGTAAAAGAAACAATCTAGCATCAAGCCCAGTACCTGATACTTGGCTAACACTCGGGAAATGTTTGTAAGTGAATAAATGAATTAAAGAGTGAATGAACAACTGATAAAACTCAGATCTCCCGCTTCATAAGCCATTCCTATGATACCAGGACACACCCTTGCAAATGACAATGTTCAAGGCCAAATAAAAGATTTTTTTTTTTTAATTTTTTTTTATTTATTTGACAGAGAGAGACACAGCAAGAGAGAGAACACAAGCAGGGGGAGTGGGAGAGGGAGAAGCAGGCTTCCCGCCGAGCAGGGAGCCCAATGCGGGGCTCAATCCCAGGACCCTGGGATCATGACCTGAGCCGAAGGCAGATGCTTAACGACTGAGCCACCCAGGCACCCCTAAATAAAAGATGTTAACAGACGATATCTGGGCCATAGATTATAACTCCCATTTATTTTCATATGAATTTATTACTGAACCAATTTGGAGATTTGTTTCTGGAAAGTACTGATTTATTCACTTGAGATGAGGCATGGTAAATGCAAGTCCTGGACTGGCAGTGCACTGCTGTGGATGGCTACCCAGTAAGTACATGGCACTTTAGTCGATGGCACTTTATGGTCCCAGCAGAGCCAGTCTGGATCTTGAGGCTGAACTATTTCCTCATAGAAGGATAAACGGAAGGAGGTTGGAAAGCCAAGGAAATGGAAGGCAAGTCCACAATCTCCTGTTTCCTACATTCTAAGATAATACTTCTTTCCACATACTGGGTCCCAAAACTTCTATTTGTTTAAGGGATATGAATCCAAGACAGTGTCAGAGTCAGAGAGAAGGGCAGGAGCTCCCATTCTTCCTGCTGGGTGTCACCTGCTCCTGGCCGTCTTAGTTGCCCTTGAATCAAAGAACAAAAAAGCAGCTCGATTTCATAGGCTGAAACTCCCCTCTCAAGCTGACCTGATCTACCTCACTAAGAATGGATTATAGAGTCCCCGTACTCCATCAAAGACTGACTTTTACCTTGATCTTGGGTATCTACAAACTGGGATCTACAAACTATCTTGTGAAACATGCTAAACACACAAGTACATATATTTATATAGCTAGAGATAGAGATATCTATATTCATGTTATTCAGAAACAACTGAATTAGTATTGTATTTAGTATTCAGAAAGTAACTGGGGTTAATGGAGCCTCTGACTCAAAGCACAGACAATCCTTGCAATGATACCTTGGCTAAAGAACTTGAATTTATGATTTCTTGTCTTTTTCTCTTTACCAACACCCCCACCACCACCCCCAACTTAGGAAAGGAGCCTGGTGGGGGAACCAAGAGTTTGGATTGCAAAATTGAGGAGAGTACTGAAACACCTGCTCTAGAGGACTCCTCATCATCCCCTGTAGATATTCAGCAACATTCCTGGCAGGTTTCCACAGACATCGAGAACACTGAAAGGTAAGTGGGAAGTAACCCTAAATAGACTTCCAGTATTCCTCCAGTTAATACTCTTAAGGGCTATAAAAGTTGAGATTTTTCTCTTTCAGATTCAGCTTTTGTCTTTCAGATTCAGATTTTAGAAATCTCAGAAAATTGAGGCAACAGAAGGTAAGGAGTCTAAATCCTGCAGTAGAATGTTAGCAGAATTTCCAGTAGTCACAGGCTCCCAAGCCTCTTTTTATCCCACTCTACCACATTGTGTCTCCATGGAAATGAAAACAGTGTGCTTCCTTGGGAAGGAGAAAGTTGAATCTATATACCATCACAGCTCACCCACTGGGCTAGGGACCAAAATTTCCATTTGTTTAAAGGAGAAGAATCCAAAATCATGCAAAGATGTCAACAGTAAATTCTTGCATTTCAGGTGTATGGAATGGCCTGCTGAGCTGTCAGTCAGAGGCTAAGCATTCTGTCCAGTTGACAGCTTTTCATAGATCTCCCTTCTCTTGCTTTCCCAGAATGTAGCTGATGGTCCCTTAGTGATCAAAGCAAGTTAATGCATTTGTCTTAACAAGCAGTAGCTCACTGATAGAGAGGGAGTTTCCTTCTTGAGAAGTGATTCTACAGTGATTCAATTTCATTTGGGGAAAGGAAGCAATAATAACATAATAATACATGCCATGGCTCATCTAGATGCTAAAAATGCCATTCTGTGAGGCAGGAAGATGAGGCCCTTGTTTATTGGCCTTCATAGTGATCTCATGTCCTTTGCTACTAATGTCCCTAGAGCTGACACAAAGCAGTTGAATGAATACTGGGCAATTCCACTGAGTGCTTTGTGTGGAGTTGAATCATTGACAAGATAATGAACATTTTATTTTTTTATTTTTAGAAATGTAACACACAATGGCATTTATAGCCATTGTGGTTCTACTTTCATATTGTAATATAATTCTAAAGCTAATTACTGAATTTCTGTGTTTATAGAAAATTGAAGCATGTGGTAATTATGTGCTATTAATAAAACTTGGATTTTGTATAAGCTTGGAAATCTAACAATTCAAACAATAAAGCTGTTTGGCACGGTCTGATACAGCTATAGACAAATGGTGAGGGAATGATTTATCTTAATTTATGAAATAGAAAATGCTTTGCTCTATTCCCAGGAAGAAATATCTGCCAGAGTGCCATGATCAGGGCATAATCCATCAGCAAAGACATTTTCCCTTTCAGGCACCTTGCACAGCAACTATATCTAAGCCTTTTGAGCTTGTAAGAAAGCAAGCTATGGCTGGCAATAAAAATAAGAGAGGGTGCAGTTAGGTTCAAGATGGTGTCATAAGATGTGAACTCACTCCCTCCCATGGACCCAACAAATATACAATAATAATTTCCTCTGAAAAAGACCAGCAAATTGGATGACCAGAGCCTCCACAACAAAGGACAAAAAGGACAGCACTGAGATAGGAGAAGCAAAGACCCTGCCTTGCCAAAAAAGACTCCACCATAAGTGCTGGGATCCACAATCAGGAAGGGTCTCAAAAGTACAGAACTTTTTCCTAAGAAGTGAGGGGTCTGTGCTCCATGTCAGGCTTCCAACCCTTAGGCCCTGCATGAGAGATATGAGACCCCCTAAATACCAGACTTTGAAAGCCAATGAGGATTATATCCAGGATAACTATAAAACTGAAGGGAATGGAAAACCCACTCTTAAGGACTCATGCACAGATTTGCTTGCCCTGGGACCCAGCACAAAAACATGAATTTGAAAAGTTCCTAGATCATATGTGAAGGAAACCAACTTACTAATCTTAAAGCACTTCCCAGAGAGGCAGGAAAGTGTTGGGACCTTATATAGAGACAGAGACAATGGCAGCCACTATATATGTGACCTCTTCCTACCTTGCTAAGTTTGGTGCTGGTGGGCACCATTTTGGAACTATCCCTCTAACCTATTAGAGCTGGTGGGCATGCTCAGGTGAGAATCCCACACACCATCAGAGCAAAACCACATGTCACAGCCAGACCAAGGGCCAATCCCACCCACCCCCATACCACAGATACAACCCTGCCACAGCAGATGGGTGTGTGCAGTCCATATTGAGGATAATCCTTGAGCGCCTAGTTCCGGTGGTCAGAGGGGATTGCATATCTGGGTTCCACATGACCTCTTCTGCCCAAAGACATTCTTCCAATATTGGAAGGGGTAGTGAATTTGACTAATACATACAAACAAACACAGAGAATAAGACAAAGTGTTTCAACAAAACATTATGTTTCAAACAAAAAAACAAGATAAAATATCAGAGAAAAATATTAATGAAACAGACATAAGCAACCTATGTGATAAGGATTAAAGTAATAGTCATAAAGATACTCAGTGAACTCAGAAGAATGGATGAATATGGAAATCCTCAACAAAGAGACAGTAAATATAAGAAAGTTCTAAAGAGTAGTTACAGAGCTGAAGAATACAATAACTAAACTGAAAAGTATACTGAAGGGGTTCAAGAGCAGACTGGATGAAGCCAAAAATCTGATCAGCAAGCTAGAAGAGAAAGCAAGAGAAGTCACCTGAGCAGAAGAGCAAAAAGAAAAAAGAATTGTAGAGAATGAAGGTAATTTAAGGGACCTCTGAGACATCAAGTGGAATAATGTTTGCCTTATCGAGATTCCAGAAAGGGAAGATAGAGAAAAAAGGCCAGAAAACTTATTTGAAGAAATAGTAGTTGAAGACTTTTTTAATCTGGGGAAGAAATCCAGGTTTAAGAAGCACAGAAAGTCCTGAACAAAATGAAACAAAGAGATCCACAAAAAGAGACGCTAGAATTAAAATGGTAATTTTAATAATAATTAAAATTATAAAAGTTAAAGAGAGAATCTTAAAAGCAGCAAGAGAAACCCCATAAGTATGCCAGCAGATTTTTCAACAGAAATTTTGCAATCCAGAAGAGGGTGGCATAACATATTCAAAGTGCTGAAAGGAAAAAAAATTCACCAAGAATTCTCAGCAAGTTATTATTCAAAATTGAGGGAAAGGGGATCCTGGGTGGTTCAGCTGGTTGAGTGTCCGACTCTTGATCTAGGCTCAGGTCTTGATCTTGGGTTCATGGGTTCGGGCCCCACATTGGGCTCTGCACTCAGTGTAGAGCCTACTTAAAAAAAAAAAAAAATTGAGGGCGAGATTAAGAGTTTTCCAGATAAGCAAAAGCTATAAAGGAGCTCATCACCACTGACCCAGCATCACAATAAATGTTAAAGGGACTTCTCTAAACTGAAAAGAAACGGCACTAATTAATAACAAGGAAATATATATGAAATCCTCCTGGAAAAGGTAAACATATAGTAAAAGTAGTGAATCAATCACTTATAAAGCAACTATGAAGGTTTAAAGACAAACATAATACAGTTAACTGAAACTACAAGAATTAAAGAATGCATAAAATTAAAAGACATAAAATGTGACATCAAAAACATAAAATGGCAGGGGTAGAAGAAATGTAAAGTTTTGGAATGTTGCTATTAACTCAAAACAGACCATTATATACATAGGAACTTACATGTGAACTTTATGGCAAGCCATGAAGCAAAAACTTACCATAAAAACACAAAGAGGTGCCTGGGTGGCTCAGTTAGTTAAGCATCTGCCTTAGGCTCAAGTCATGATCCTGGGGTCCTGGGATCGAGCCCCATATTGGGCTCCCTGCTCAGCTCTCTTGTGCTCTCCCTCTTGTGCTCTCTCTGTCTCCCTCTCTCTCAAATGAATGAATAAAATCTTTGAAAACACACACACACACACAAAAGAAAATGAGAAGAGAATCTAAACAAAACACTAAAGAGAGCCATCAAACCACAGGGTAAGAGAGAAAAAAGAGAGAAACAGAGAGGAATTACAAAAACAGCCAGAAAACAATCAACAAAATGGCAATAATTACTTACCTATAGTTACTTCAAATGTAAAGGGACTAAACTTTCCAATCAAAAGACATAGAGTGGCTGAAGGGATACATAAAAATAAGACCCATCTGTATGCTACCTGCAAGAGACTCACTTCAGGACACACACAGACTGAACTTGAAGGGATGAACAAAGATATTTCATGCAAATGGAAATGAATAGAAAGCTGGTGTAGGAATATTCATAATAGACAAAGTAGACTTTAAAACAAAGACTGTAATAATAGACAAAGAAGGGCATTACATAATGTAAAAGGGTCAATCCAACAAAAAGACATACCACTTTTAAATATCAAGTATCTTTTCTGACTACAGTGGTATGAAACCAGAAGTCAATTACAAAAAGAAAGCTGGAAAAAAAACACAAAAATGTGGAGATAAAACAACATGCTTTTAAACAACGAACAAGTCATCAAAGATGTCAATGAAGAAATAAAAAAAAAACCTAGAGACTAATGAAAACAGAATTATGACATACCAAAATCTGTGGGATGTAGCAAAAGTGATCTAAGAGGGAAAATCATAGCAGACTTACCTCCATAAGCATGAAAAATCTCAAATAATCAATCTAACTTTACACCTACAGGAGCTAGGGGAAAAAAAAAAAAAAACAAGCAAAGCCCAAATTCAGTAGAAAGAAGGAAATAATAAATACAGAGTGGAAAGAAATGAAATAGAGACCTAAAAATTAATAGAAAAGATCAATGAAACTAAGAGCTGGTTCTTTGAAAAGATAAAAGAAACTCAAAAACCTTTATCTAGACTAGAGAAGTCTAGACTAGACCAAGAAAAAAGAGAGAAGGTTCTAATAAATAAAATCAGAAATGAAAGAGCAGAATTTACAACTGACATCACAGAAATACAAAGGACCATAAAAACTATTACAAACAATTATACGCTAACAAAGTGGACAATCTGGAAGAAATGGGTAAATTCTTAGAAACATACACTCTTCCAAGACTGAATCATGAAGAAATAGAAAATCTGAACACACTGATTACTGGTAAGGAGATTGAATCAGTAATCAAAAATGTCCCAACAAACACAAGTCCAGGAACAGACAGATTCACAAGTGAATTCTAGTAAACATTCCAAGATTTAATACCTATCCTTCTCAAATTCTTCCAAAAAATTAAAGAGGAGGAAACACTTCCAAAGTCATTTTATGAGGCTAGCATGACCCTGATACCAAAATCAGAGAAGAACATCACAAAAAAAGAAAATTGTAGGTCAATATCATTGATGAATATTAATGTATAAATTCTCAAAAAAGTATTAGCAAACTGAATACAATAAAATAAAAGGACCATACACCATGATCAAGTGTGACTGATTCCAAGGATACAAAGATGGTTCAACATCTGCAAATCAATCAACGCGACACACCGCATTAACAAAATGAATCATCTCAATAGCTACAGAAAAAGCATTTGACACAATCCAACACCATTTTTAATAAAAACTCAGCCAAGTGGGCATAGAGGGAACATATCTCAACATAATAAAGGCCATATATGACAAACCCACAGCTAACATCACAGTAAATGGTGAGTAGCTGAAAGTTTTTCCTCTGAAATCAGGAATAAGACAAAAATGGCCACTTACCACTTTTATTCAATATAGTATTGAACATCCCAACCAAAATAATTAGGCAAGAAAAATAAAAAAAAGACATCCAATGATAAAGGAAGGAGCAAAACTGTCTCTATCTGCAGATGATGTGATACTAAGAAAACCTAAGAGACTCCAACAAAAAAATGGTTAGAACTAATAAATGAATTCAGTAAAGTACCAGGATACAAAAATCAACACACAGAAATCTGTGGCATTTGTATATACTAATCACAAATTATCAGAAAGAGAAATTAAGAAAATAATTCCATTTAAATTGCATCAAAAACCCAGGAATAAATTTAACCAAGCTGAAAGACCTACACACTGAAAACTGTAAGACACTGATGAAAGAAAATGAAGACATAAATAAATGGGGAAAAAAATTCCATGATCATGGATTGGAAGAATAGAGTTAAAATGTCCATACTACCCAAAGCAATCTACAGATTCAGTGCAATCCTTATCAAAATTCCAGTTAATCTTCAAAAATTAACTCAAAATGGATTAAAAACCTGAATGTAAGATCTGAAACCATAAAATTCCTAGAAGAACACATACACAGTAAGCCCCTCAACATGAGTCTTAGTGATATTTTTTGTGCATCTGATTCCAAAGGCAAGGGAAACAGAAGCAAAAATAAACAAATGGGATTACATCAAACTGAAAATCTTTTGCATAGTGAAAGAAAAGGTCATCAAAACAAAAATGTGATCTACTGAATGGGAGATTTTTGCAAATCATATATCCAACAAAGGACTAAGATCCAAAATATATAATGAACTCATACAACAACAACAAAAAGAAACAATCCAATTAAAAAATGGTCAGGGGATCTGAATAGACATTTTTTCAGAAAAGACCTATAGATGGCCCACAGGCACACAGAAAGATGTTCAACATCACTAGTCATCAGGAAAATGCAAATCAAAACCACAATGAGGTATCACCTCCCACCAGTTAGAAGAGCTAGTACCAAAAAGACAAGAAATAACAAATACTGGGGAGGAAGTGGAAAAAAAGGGATCTCTCATACCCAACTGATGGGAATGTAAACTGGCACAACCACTATGGAAAACAGTATGGATATTTCTCAAAAAAAATAAAAATAGGACTACCATATGATCCAGCTATTCCACTTCTAGGTATTTATCCAAAGAAAACAAAAATTCTGATTCAAAACTATATATGCACCCCTCTGTTCATTGCTGTATTATTTACAATAACCAAGAAATTGAAACAACCTAAATGTTCATCAATGGATGAATGGAAAAAGAAGATGCAGTGTATGTGTGTGTGTGTGTGTGTGTGTGTGTGCTATAATGGAATCTACTCAGCTTGCTATTTGCAACAACATGGACAGACTGTGAAGTTATTATGCTAAGTGAAATAAGTCACACAGAGGAAAACAAATACCATATGATTCCACTCATATCTGGAATCTATAAAGGAAAACAAAACAAAAACAAACTTATAGATGCAAGAGAACAGATAGATGATTACAGAGAGGAAGGGTGGGGGGGATGGAGGTGGGTCAAATGGTTGAAGGGGGTCAGTTTTAGGGTAATGCATCATAACTAGACTTGTAGTGGTGATCACTTTGTAGTACATACAGATGGAAACTTATAATGTTGCACACCTGAAGCTTAAATAATGTTATATACCAATTTTACCTCAATTTTTAAAAAAAGAAGACTATAGCCCACAGTTTTGAAGTTCAGCCTTAAAGTCCAGATTCAGGTCCAAGGAGGTGGGAATGACTGAGACAAGTAGGCACAAGAGACCTGATCTGGTAAGGCAGCTTCCTAAGTTCTCCCTCTCTCTGCCTAAGAGATCAGTGCGTCTCACACTGGACTGCACATTAAAATCACCAGAAGGGCTTTTTAAAAACACTGATTCCTGAGGGCGCCTGGGTGGCTCAGTCGTTAAGCGTCTGCCTTCGGCTCAGGTCATGATCCCAGGGTCCTGGGATTGAGTCTCACATCGGGCTCCCTGCTTGGCAGGAAGCCTGCTTCTCGCTCTCCCACTCCCCCTGCTTGTGTTCCTGCTCTCGCTGTCTCTCTCTCTGTCAAATAAATAAATAAAATCTTTAAAAAAAAAAACAAAAACACTGATTCCTGAGCCCCATCCCCAGAAACCAGCTATATCAGGCTCTCATGGGGTGGGGTCCTGGCACATGATGATTCTCCTGTGCAGCACCACGCCTGGGAATTGGTGCTTTCCAGAGAGACCTTGCCTCAGTCTCACATATTGCATTCCTGACCCGTTCCCACCATGTGCCCGTCCACCTCCCATCCCATCCACCCTTGAGAATTTTACAGGAAATCAGAATATGCCCCTTGCACTTCTGGATGTAAGGGCCCTGCCCTTCTTTTTCCCAATCCCCCACTCTCACCTTTTCTCTCTAGAAATACCCTTTGGGGCTCGTCAGCATCCGTGCCCCACAGACATATCCTCATACTTATGGAAAAGAATTCCAATTGTTTTTATGGGCTTATTTCTACATCTGACCCACAAGGCTGCTTTCTTCTCCTTTTCCAATCAGCTATTCCTGGGAAAGAGTTCCTTTTTACATGTTAGCCAATACTTAAGGAGAGACCCTATGGGGTCTCTGGCCTCCCCCAGGACAAGTAGTCCTCAACCCATACTCAAGAGAACAGCTGTGTATCAAGAAATACACAGGGGCGCCTGGTTGGCTCAGTTGGTACAGCATGCAACCCTTAATCTCAGGGTTGTGAGTTCAAGCCCCACATTGGGTGTGGAGCCTACTTAAAAAAAGAAAGGAACTGAGGGTCCCTATTTCATACCTAAAATTAAATGGTGATTCTTTTTCTTCAAATAGCAAAAGAAAAATAAGTTAGTAGATAGAATTTCCTCAACTTTCAGATTATCCTCCCCCCAAAACTTTATTAAATCCTTAGTACCTGCTGCTATTGCTTGCCTATTCTAGAGCTAACTAAAAGATGTATCTGATTTTTGCCCTTATAAATGAAATCAACCACTACGTCCTGTGATTTCGAGAGTACTAAGTCCAGGGGATGACCACCAGAACATGTGGAGAACTACTGCCCCAAGGATTTGAAAAGTCCAACTGATTCCTATCCCAAACTAGAAGCCCCCTGGTATGGCTTCCTGCTCCACAGTTGGGTGGTTTTAGGATCACATATATTCCAAGATGAGAGAGCGGAGATGTTGGAAGGATGCAGTGGCTTACCTGCGTGGGAGAAGCTACAGGAAGGTCCATTTGTCCATCTGTCCCAGGTGCTTCTCTCTCCCTCCTTCTCCCTCTCCACGCCCCCCACCCCATCGTGAAGAGCTCTTCTCTGAAGATTTTAGAATTCGTCAGTTTCCCATTATTCCAAGTCACTTCGATCAATGCTGAACCTTGTGAATCCCTAACACCTATGTTACACTGAATTTCAATCATGAGACAATAGCAAGTGAACCAGTACAACCACAACAGCTATCTGACCTTAAAGCCTGAGAGCAACATCACCCAGCCTCAGTTTTGCCCAGAGTACCCCTGTTACACTAGTTGCATGTCCTTGACCTCCCTCTTAGAAATCTGCGATACTGGCCTTGTTATCAGAGACTCTTCTCTGATCTCAGCCAGGTCCAACCGAAGGCAGAGAAGAAGGCTCCTAGAGCAGAATGCCCTGTGGAAATGTTTGCCAGAGTAGTTCTCATTCCTTCCAAAACCATCAGTCTCAGATTTTTTTTCTTATAAAAGCAAAATAAATTCAACATTTGCCTACTGGAAACTAAAGCTAGTACAATTAAGCACAGACTCTCATCTCTCAATTGTCTCATAGAACAGACTGTTTGGGATTGCACTTCAAAAATTCACAGCTGATTTTTTTCTTCTTTTTATCACTTTTACAGAGACATGCGAGAAATGAAAAACCTTTTAAGCAAACTCAGGGAAACTATGCCTTTACCATTGAAAAATCAAGGTAAGTCTTGTCATTTTGAGGCAGAGGATGTTTTTAACCTGATAACCTTGGGACTTGTTTCTTGAGAAATTACAAATTTGTTTTACACAAACAATAGGAGGCACTGAATATACATTCCTCTCTCTTCAAGAAGATACAATAATGAAAATGGAGCCCCGCAGGCAAACACAGTTGTGCTCTGAGGAGAGCTGAGGTACACTCTGACCCTCAGAGGCCTCTTCCACTGGCCCTGTCAGGCAAGAGCATGTATTCATTAACAAGCCCTGGAAAGCACTATACCAGGTGTGGCAAACAACAAAACAACTGAAGACTTGGCCCTTGACTTTAAGAAGTTGGACATTAAGGAGGGCACTTGATGTAATGAGCACTGGGTATCATTTAAGACTGAGGAATCACTAACCTCTACCTCTGAAACCAGTAATACATTATATGTTAATTAGCTGCATTTAAATTTTTAAAAAAAGTTTACAGCCTAGAGGAGGACACTTAAGAAATTTCCAAAGGGAGGGCACCTAGGTGGCTTACACGATCGACTCTTGATTTCCGCTCAGGTCCTGATTTCAGGGTCGTCAGATGGAGCCCTGCTCAGGCTCCGTGCTCAGGGTGGAGTCAGCTTGAAATTCTCTCTCCCTCTGCCCCTCACCCTCCCCGCAGGGCACTCTTTCTCTCTCTCAATAAATAAATAAAATCTTTAAAAAAAAAAAAAAAGAAATCTCCAAAGAAAGACTTATGCCATCTAGATGTTTAATTATCTAAAAGAAGTAATAATAATTAACACATATTGAGACCTTACAGTGTGCCACTGTGATTCTGCACCCAATTCCAATGTGTGGGAGCCCTTTTCCACACCACCAAGCAATTCGTGGACACCATTACGGTGTCCTGCAATTCATCTGCATTCTGAGATGACCTGGAGGACAGCACCAGATCCCCTAAATTAAGGGCTACAAGATTGCCCTCCCCCACCACTTGAGATGTACAGGTTGGAAGTTCCAAGGAGCCCCTCCATGGCTTCGGTTAATTTGCTACAGTGGATCATAGAACTCAGAGAAACATTTTACTTACTAGATCACCAGTTATCACAAAAGGATATAACTCAGGAACAGCCAGATGTCAGATGCAAGCGTAGGGTATGGGGAAGGGCAAGCAGATTCCATCCCTCCCCCAGTGCACCCCGCTTCGCAGGTCTCTACTTGTTCACCAACCCGGAAGCTCTCCGAACCTGTCCTTTGTTGGTTTGTGGGAGGCTTCATTACACAGGTGTGACTGATTAAATCACGGGCCGTTGGTGATGAACTCAATCTTCAGTTCATCTCCCTTCCCCGGAGCTTGGGTTTGGGACTGAAAGTTCCAACCCTCTAATCACACTTTTGGTTCCCCTAGCAACCAGCCCCCATCCTTAGGCGGTTTTTGAAAGTATCCTCATTAACATAACAAAAGACACCTTTCTTGCTATCATCCCTTAGGAAATTCCAAGGGATTTAGGAGCTTTGAGCCAGGAATGAGGTGGAAAACCAAAGACATGCCTTATTATAAATCACAATATCACAAACCACTATCCTAAATACTCCGCATGTATTAACTCTGTTAACTTATTTAATTCTCGTAAGGTCTTTGAGGGAAATGCTATTAATGTTTCCCAATTGACAGGAAACTGAGGCAAAGAGAGTTAACTAACTCAGCCAAGGTCACACAGAACTGTAAGTAGAAAGGTTGGGATGTGATCCCAGACAGTCTGTCTCCAGAGCTATCCTATGGGAATATACACCGTAACACAGAAATGGAGAAGGTATTTTCACTAGATTGTAACTTCCACGAGGGAAGGGCCTCTACATGTTTCTGTTAACTATTATTGTATCTTGTGTACCTAGAGCAATGCCCAGAACGACAGCCGGCATACACAGTAAATGTTTGTTAAATCTGCGCCCAACTTTGCAGCCCCGGGGGCTGATGATCTGTACGAAGGACCATCATCGGCACTGTCACTGAGCATGCGTGGGCCGAGCACCTGCCAGGAAGCGTCCGCTTGAGAGAGTGCTACGTAGAGGGTGGGGAAAGGGTTTTTAGAGTAAGAAAGAAACTCCTCTGCTTTTCACTGAGCAAAGCAGAGGGAGGTCAGGGTACTGCCTGGCTCTGAGACGATTTGGTAGCAGAGCTGGAGAGCCTGTTGGCTCGGGGAGCGGCTTGGCAGAAGGTGGAGAGGTGGAAGTGAGAACGCCAGGTGAAGAGGCCGAGAAGTAGTGTGGCCTGAGCGGCATGGGATGGAGGCAGGGTGTCAGAAGACAAGACGCAGGGGTGTGGAGCATCAGTCAGCTACCTGGAAGCACCCCTGCAGGGCCTGGGATCAGACTAACGGGCTTGCGCCCTCGGCGTAGTGCAGTGGAGACCTTGTGGTAGTTTCCGGAAGCAGATAGGGTGTAGTGAGGAGAGAACCCTCCGGCCACAGCCTGGAAGATTGTTGCTAGAAATGCGCATGGTGGTGGGGACCGGGGCCTTTAGATGAAGGCCGATCCTTGGGTTCAAATGCTGGCTCTGCCACTTAGCAACTTTGTGCCCTGGAAAAATCTGTTTAACATCCAGCGATGTCAATTTCCTCATCCCTGAAAAGGAGATAAGAGCATTACTTGCTTCAGGGGGCTGTTGGGGCTTAAATGAAGCACCGCAGGTCTTGTGTCTGCTCCCGACCTGGACAGATGCTTTGTTGTGATGACTGTTGCTGGTACCGGTATTCTTTACCAGCCAGCCCAGCCAGCCCAGCTCAGGAGAATGCCCCATCATCATCCAACAGAACAGCCCCAGCTTCCGCTCGTTGATCTGGAGCCCGCAGTACAGAACATTGGTCCCTGGGACTTTGGAGTTGGAGTTCATGTCTGAAGCTGTTCTGTTTCTTTATATGTTTGGCAAGTCCCCCTGGGGCAGCATGGAGGCCCCTCCCTATACCTCACCATCAGCTGCCCAGGAGAACGCCTGCCAGGGCGTGCAGAGTGAATGGCATGTGTGCCCTGTGCTTTCTAGTGTAAATCAAACCATCCAAAACGTCCCCTCCACATTTCATGAAAATACATCCAACGGTTCCTGAAGCATGCATTAACGGAAATTTCAGTTTAATTACTTGGGACATTTTTATAATCATAAAGAGTAGAAATATTTTGTGTGACTTTGTATTCTTTTATAAACAGGAAACAGTAGAATTTTAAATACATTTTCAAAATGTAATAATAATAATAAATGATTGATACTGTGAGTAAAAACATGAGTGAAAAGGGCCCTAAATCTGTGTAGAGCATGAAAAGGAAAAAGCTAGGAGATTCAAGGACCTGTTAGGAGGGAATGATGCAATAGGATTTTGAATAAAAAGAATAAAAAATTGAGGTGAAGGCTTCGATTCAGGTAAATTCAGGTTTCTTCACTTAGGGGAAAAAGGGGACCCTCGGCATGAGATGCCACATCTCCGTTCTTTACGGGTTTCATGGGAATCATAGCATGATGCCGCTTGAAGCTGACCAGTGGAGACAGGGGGTTGTGAGTCTGAACCAGAGGGTCTGAGAAAGCCTGAGGGAAGGAGAGCAAGTCTCTTGTGTCCCTCTGGGAACATTTTTTAGCAGATGCATATAGCACCATTTTAATGAACCAATCAGCCAGATTCTTCTGTCTGACTCTGTATACCAAGCTAGACCATAGGAGCTTTCCCATGACCTTCCTGGAATTCTTTTGCAGCTGATCTGTTTATTCTATGGGTGTAGGTGAACATATCCAAGAAACAGTGTGGGGTGAAATGTGGAAAAATATATTCCAGTTCTTTTCTCTAGGACCTTATTGTCAAAACATCTTTGTAACTGGATGAAAACCATTATAGAAAGCCATCTGGTTTTTTTTCTGGCTTCTTATTTCTTTTCTCTTTTTATTCCATTTACATGTGTGTTTGAAGCAGAGAGAAAAAAAAAGGGGAACGATACCACACCTGGTTTCCTTTGTTCCTATCTCAAACCCTGACCATGTGAAGATCCTGCCAGGCGGGCACTGGGGAAACCTCCCCCGGAAGGGCTCAGATTCCTGTGTTCTCCAGGCTCCACCCTAGTCTTCACCGCAGAAACTTCCATATTTATTTTCGCATTTAAAGATTCAGTCGTATCTTTCCCCCTCTTCCTACCACAATCAAAACTTGACAACAGTTTGTTGTAAAGTGATTTTCAGTGACAAATAAAGGAAGGTAGCCAAGAGCAGGAATTTTAATGGTTAGTGATTATGGCCTCCTTTTAGACAGTGCCTTTTCTTTCCCATCCTTCCAGTTTAAGGCTGGAGACACAGAGAGGCACAAAAGAAAAGCGAGCTGTCCTCCTTCTATGGCAGCCCCACAGCAGGCTCCTGACCACGTCCAGGTCTCCTGGCTCTCAGCCCACTGTTCTTTCCACTGCTTCAGCGCCTCTCCTGTCCTACATTCTGGGTCACTGGCAGTGCTGTAGGAAACTTCATTAATTATGATAGTCTTGCTGTGTCAAATGGATTACAAATGGAACCACCTGTGGAGAGCCTGCAAGGTTACTGACAAAGGCTAAAAGGAGACTGGAAAGTGAAGGGCAAGCATCTTCTAAATGTATGTTGTAATCAAACAAAACAAGTTGGCAGAAATAAATTAATCCTGAAAGACAGTTTCTCCTTTTCCAGAATTCTGACTTAATGAATGCTGTGGGGTGTGTTTGTATGTTCACTCTTGCCTAGAATTTGGTCATTGAGACCGGGCATTAAAATCGGTCTGAGGTGGATCCATTGGGAATTGAATCTGTTCTAGAATAGGTCCCCTCCTGGGGACAGTGCGACTCCAGACTAAATTGGATTTAGGAACAGCTCCCCCAGATTCATACTGTCAGCCCACTCCAGTCTGGAGCCCCCATATCCACTCTAGCCATGTCATGGAGCAGGGTTTGATATCTGGCTGAAGAACATGAGGCAGTTATGCCACCCGATAGCCTAGAGATGATCTTTTAGGTCCTTTCACCAGG